GAAAGATTTTATGTATTTGAGAGACAGTGAGAGCTAGGGAGAGAAAATGTGAGCACACACAAAGGGAGAAAGAGAGAGAGAAGCAGACTCCCTGCTGAGCAGGGAGCCCAACTTGGGACTTGATCCTAAGACCCTGGGATTATGACCTGAGCTGAAGGCAGATGCTTAACCGACTGAGCCACCCAGGTGCCTCTACAGTTTTTAAAACCTGCCATCCCTGGATTCCAGTGGAGAACTAGTGGCATGGGCATACAGTCCTCAAACTGAGCAGTGCTAGTACAGTGACTACTGCTGGCTCCTTTGTATGGAGTCAATGAGTTTATTCATATAAGATGGTCAGAAACGTGCCTGGCAAATAGTAAGCACTCAGTAAAGGTTGCCGTCATCCTCATCGTCATTATTATCATCATCAATCGTCATCACAGTTACTAGGTTCCAAGCTCTGTGCTCAGAGTTTCATGTACTTTGTCTCTTCTCAAAGAACTTGGCAAGTTAGGACTCCTTGTTCTTGCTTTTCATGTGGATATCTGAAACTTAAGGAGATTAAGTAACATGTCCAATGTCACACAACTCGGAGAGTGGCAGACAGAGACATAAACCCAGTCCTTTATGATGCTGAGGCTTTAAAAACACTTTCATGGCAAGGGGAGAGAAGTTTACTGAAAAAGTTTAGAAAAAAAAAAAAAGGATAATACTAATAATTAAACACTGGGATTTTTTAAAAGGCATTTTGGAAAAAAACAAAACAAAACAAAAAACCAAAAAAAAGAGAAGATTAATTTTATCAACGCTTGTGAAAACAAAACAAAACAAAACAAAACCCAAAACCATTGTGCTATAATTATATGACCTAATCACGGGTCTAACTATTGTAATGGTTCATTATGCATATTTGCACAAATTACAAAACTAGTTGTAATTATTCCCATGTTGTAAATAAATGACAAGTGACTACATGCTTCCTGAAACACATAATGAAATGATTTGTCATGTACATTATTTTTATTAAAGCAAAGGAATTCCACGTCACTGGAATTAACTTGTACCCAACCCCAAGATCAGCATTCCTGTCATAGCCATGCCTTTCTAAATTTCCCCATCTGTCTCTACCACTTCTTGAGATTAATACATTTCTTTACCATTTTCTCTCATAGTCTTGGGAATGCCACCTTTAGTATAATGCTGTGGTTAAAAGCTTAGGCTCAAAAGACAGACGGGTGGACGTTCAAATCCTGTATCTGCCCTTTATGATCTGTGCCTCGATATAGGGCATGTTGCTGCTAGTCCTTGATTCCTCATGTATGCAGTGGTGATACAATGGATCCTGACTAAGATTGTTATAAAGATGTGTGTGTGGAATGTGTAAATAAATACACACACATACTTAGCTCATGGTCTGGAATATAGGAAGGAATCAGTACATCTTCTTCCTGTGATTAGGACCCAATTCTTATAAGTGCTCTTCATATGGTGAGTCAGAGATTCAGCACCTTGGGGAAAAGGGGGGTGAGCATATACGGAAACAAGAGGGTAGACTGTCCACTAAGTACTATTTTTTAAAAGTTCATTAAACATGTCCCAATCAAAAATTTTTTTCTAAACATTTTACACAGAACCCAGGAGACACAAAACAATGACACAGGTCTCCTGTCTCCACAGAGCTCACATGCATGTCCAAGGGGGAGGATAAATGATAAACGTGTCATAAAAAAGGTACAAACAGTGGGGTGCTGGCTATTTTTGGTCACTGGCGACCAAAAATCTGGTGATAGGGAACCACAAAAGAGCAATTAAACCTGCTTATGGTCACCTGAGAGAGACCTGCAGCTGAATTCAAATCAATGCAAAATGGAGCCTTCCAGAAGTAGAGCCAATATTCCACCCACACAAGTCGGAGCACCTCCAAGCCCCAGTGAGAATGAGGCGGCTACAGCTTTAACACTGGTACACACGAACGGAGTTTCAGTCAAGTTCTGGGCACAGCATCGCTCTAATTTTGGTCGTTGATATCACACACAAGAAAAGAGCACAGTATCAAATATTGAAACCATGTTTAATGCCTCAGGGTCACATTTCAAACCAAGGGCTATTAACCAAAAGAGCCACACGACTCCTGGCTACCTCAAAAAATAGCCTAGTAACTTGATACAGAAATGAGAAGATGAGAACCACAGGCTAGCTGTGAAAGATTTCTATGGCTCTCAAGGGATGGTGAGATCCTAATATAGACCCTGAGACTCCCCCTATGAACTCCCTGTGAGCTGCTTTTCTGTCTTACTCATCTTTGTGTCCCTCAGGTCCTAGCAAGAATCCTGTCACCCCGACTCTCGTCAAAATGTTTGTTGAGTATAAGTAGATTGAGTTATTAGATTTTAAAGACTTGCAAAATACTGAGCTGTATTGGAGCTAAAAAAATTATCTTAATTAAAGTGTTTAAGAGGCCTATGATACAGAAGTAAGAATGAATGCTTGGGTAATTCAATATTTTTTAAAGGACTATAAATTAACACTCTAAAAAGTATCTTTGGCTAAGGGCTGGCTAATATACTTATTAGTAATAAATATAATTAATGAATTATAATAAATAAAAGCATTCTTCCCTTTTATAGGAATATAAGGCAAACAACTATCCTTGGGGAAAATGTTTTAATTTTTTTCTTCCAGAAGTGATGAATATCATTTTGCTCAATTGTCCATTCTCTTGACTAGTTTTCATTAGTTTTATTATAAATTTGTGTTATTTTAATTTTTAAATTATAAAAGTTGCAAAATCAATATTTATGTGAAACACATGTGGGAAATAAAAATGGAAATCTTTCATTTCCTCCACCTACTGCTCCTGGTTCTGACATTTTGGTGTACAACTTTTCAATCCTCTTTCTAATGTATGCATAAACCTACATCCATAGTGCATAATTTTATATTCATATAATATTTTAACATAAAACTGATAATGTTGCATATTTGTTTTCTGCAACCTAAAAGCCTTTTCTTAGGACTCAGTCTCTGTACAGAAGTTGTAACTATATGCTTATTTCTATGTTTATTTATTTATTATCTTCCACACCAGATTATGAGCTCTCTAAGAACTGTTATTCTCCAGTGTGTGTCTAGTGCTTAACACAGTTCAAGTTCCTAATAATCCCTTGTTTAATATCAACTGAATAAGTGAATACAAACCATTTTTATGAGCAACTGTAGACATTCTGCTGTGAGGGCCTGAGCTTCCTTTCTGTCCTTCCAATGTCTACGAGGATTCCTGCATGGATACATCACCATCGATTGGATGGTAATACCAATTCCCTATTGATGAGAACCTAACCTCATTTTATTTTTCTCATTTTAAGCTAGTCTTTTATGAAAATGAAAGTTTTATCTAGGCATATATCAGGCTGCTATAGCAAAATACCACAGACTGGGTAACTTACAAACATCAGAAATTTACTTCTCTCCGTTCTGGAGCCAGGAAGTCTGAGGACAGGAAGCCAACATGATCAAGTAAGAGCCCTCTTCAGGTTGCTCCTTGTTGTGTCCTCACTTGGTGGAAGAGGTTCGGGAGCCCAGGAGGATCTCCAGAACACTGATCCCACCATTGAGGGTTATACCCTAAAGACCTATCACCTCCCAAAGGCACCCCACCTTTTACCATCACCTGTAGGGGTTAGGACTTCGACATGAATTTTGAGGGCACACAAACATTCAGACCATAGCAGCATAGTAAAAATATGCAAACAAAGAGGAAAAAATACATATGAAATGAAAAACAAGAGTTGTCATCTCTCCCTACCCCTAAATCCGTTTCTCAAGGGGAATACTAGTACTTTCAACTGCTTTTATTTTATATCCTCCTGGGCTTTCCTTTGTCATTTAAATAAAATATTTATGATTCATAATTCACAATTTAGATGGCACCTTTTAATCCTTCAAGGTAAAAGATGAGGAACTTTGTACATATTGTTTCTTAACCATAATCCCTTCAACAGCCAGTCCTTGTTAGTATAGTGGTGAGTATCCCCCCACCCCGTCATAATCCCTTCAATTTCCTGCTTTTAAAAAAGGTTTATTCTGATTTTTCATCTCCAAAGTCTATAACATTTATGATATAATCTCTATAATTCAGCATTCCCTAATTTGTCTGATTGTTTCTAAAATTTAAACCCAAATAAAGATAACGCAGTTATTAAATATTCTTCATTGCCAAGTGAGGTTTTCTTTTTGCTCCCCAAAAATAAAGAAATAAAATACCATGTCTCTGAATACTACCTACTGGGAAAAAAAAATATATCCCATTTGCCAAAGAACATGGATTTGTGCCTTCAGTTTTCTCATCTTCTTGTAGGTAATACTCAGTTTCCATGGTTCCTTTTATCTCATTTCATATTCTTTCTTGCATTCCCTTTCTGTTTTGCTTAAGTTTTCTCTAGAGAAATAGTTTTCCTATGGGATTCATGAATGTAAACTTTTCAAATCCATACAGAGCTGAAAATGTTTTATTTTATTCTAATAATATTTGATAATTCAGATAGGTATGATATTTCAACTTGAAAATTATTTTTCCTTGAGTCTTGGAAGGTGTGTGACTTAGCATTCTAGAATTCAGTGTTGTTGATGAGAAGCCTGTTGCCAGTTTCATTCTCATTGCCTATAGGTAGTTGGGAGTCCTGTTTTAGCAAAGTAGTTCATGATTCCAAGTTGTTGCTATTTGCTGATTGAATCAAAGAGCTCTAAAAAGCTTATTAAATAACGTCTTACTGTCACTTTTTTTTTTCAAAGTTTTGGGCATTATCTATTGATCTTTCATTGGTGGAAATTAAAGATTTATCGTTCTTTTATCAGGTCCTCCAAGCAGTCTTCCACCCATCTTTCTGATGAACTTAGAATTTTGATTAGGTCAATATTAACATTTTTATGATTATTATCATGTAAATTTTATTCAAAGCTATCTTGCACATCTTTTTGCTTTCCCTAGAGTCATTCACTTCTTTTTTGTTATTTTTTTTAACATAACCTCAAGGTTTTATTGTCTTCATAATATAACAAAATATGAAGCTTAGAACTAGATCAGTTGGCCCTTTCTCTTCTTATCTCCTCCCTGTTCAAAATTCTCGCATCTCTTAATAGCCAGCATTCTCTTAGATCTGCAGTTGGGCTTGACACATTTGAACTTCAGCACAATCTTCTTTGTAGTTTTAGTCTTTTTCCGGAAAATAGGCTTAGACTGCCTACCATAGCCATTCTGCTTCCTGTCATAACACTGCTTTGCCTGGACATAAAGAGAATCTTTGCCTTTCTTGTGCTGCATCACTTTGTGGGGTTGGTGCTTGCCACACTTCCTGCAGAAACTCTGTTGGGTTTTAGGAAAGTTCACCATGTTTGCGAGAGCGCTATCGGCTCAGAAAGCTTTTTTAAATGTTAGTTTAAAAATATATATTTGTCGTTGATTTATACCCACACTTTCTGCTAATTCCTAAATATTCTTTTGATATATATATTTAAGCACATGTGGTATGCCATCAATTTTGTCTTTTTGGAGAATTCTCTCTGGAAATGTCTGAACTTCTCCAATTTGGACCTGTTTCTTTCCAGGCTTGTTGCATAGTCATTTTGGGAATTTCCTCACTGCGTTTAGGTTGAATGCCCTGTTCCAGAATCTCATATTTAATTTCTTATTTGACTTGCTCAGTTTGGAGGAATGCCTCTTCCTACAGTTTTCTGAGAAATAGTGCATGAGATATAAGTTTTGACATCTTACATTTCTGAAAACATCTTTATTCTACCCTCATATTTGATTGATGATTAACTGGATTTAATATAGATTCTGTGTTGGATTCCATTTCCCTCAGAATTTTTGAAGACCTTGTTCCATTTTCTTCAAGTTTCCAGTTTTGACATTGAGAAGTCTGATACAATTTTTTATAAGATTTTATTTATTTGCTTTTATTTTTATTTATTTATATTTTTTAAAGATTTTATTTATTTGACAGAGAGAGGGAGAGATCACAAGTAGACAGAGAGGCAGGCAGAGAGAGAGGAGGAAGCAGGCTCTCCGCAGAGCAGAGAGCCCGATGTGGGGCTCTATCCCAGGACCCTGGGATTATCCCTAGCTGAAGGCAGAGGCTTTAACCCACTGAGCCACCCAGGCGCCCCAGTCTGATACAATTTTGATTCTTCTTTTTTCTTTCTTCTTCTTTTTTAATGTGCACACCACCTATTTTTAGCCTCTGAAAGATTTTAGGATTTTCTCTTTGTTCACAGTCTTCTAATATTTATCCATCACATATCTAATTTTAAGAGATGTTTTTGCCCTGCATGCTTCTTATTAAAAGCATCCTAATCTTATTTAATGGTTATAACATTTTCCTTTATTTTTCTGAGAATATTAAAGATAGTATTTTTCAAAGTTTTCTTTAAAACAGACTGTTTCCTCTAACTTTCTTTATTCTGGATATAGCTTTGGTCTTTCCGATTATGCTTTCTTCATATATCTATATCTATATCTATATCTGTATATATATCTACATCTATAGATCCTTGGTTCTATGTTCATATAAGAATGGGGCACTAAAAAGCTGATGGGAAGCTTTGTGAACATAGTTGGGGCTATTGACCGTTGGTTTTCCAGCAGGGATATTGACCAGGCAGTTTAATTGGGGAATTCCTGATGTCAGTATCCTTTGGTCTGTTCTTTTGGGTCATCCGGTTTCTCAGAGAAGAATCTCCTGGTTCTCTGTCTGAAGGGAAAAAGCACCACTGAAAATGTTTTGGGATCCAGGTGGGAATAGGGCACTGGGTATCAAGATTCTGTATATACCTACCTAGACTTTCATTTACTTCTCTGTTTTTTGTATGGTAACTCTTCCCTCAGCTGTATCTCATTTCCCCCAGTCAGGAGATTCTATTTAGTTCAGGTACCCCAAGTTAGTGACCATTTATCTTTCTGTTTCTAGCTCCCCCAAATTTTGTTGTTATAATCTTTCTTCATGTTCTTTTTATCCTCATTAATATTTTTAATTTTAAAGATTTTTTAAACTCATTCATATTTATTGTGGTTAGTGATATGCTTGGATTTATTCTACATGCTGTCTTTTTTGTTTTCTAGTTTCCATTCAAGTAAAAACTCTTTCTTGGATAGATCATTTTCTATTCCATTTCTATCTCTATACTAAGGTTTGGAAATTTTACAATCTTTACATTATATTTCTAATTTCTGGTGGTTGATCTTAAAATTTAATAGCAATGAAAATTTTTCTAGTGTTTTTTTTTAAGTCAATATCTATATAATTTCTCCAAAAAAGATAAGAACCTTAGAATGCTTATATTTCCTACTTCTCTGTCCCCCAGCTATTTCCCATGTTGAGATTATCTGAGATTTTAGTTCCAGATTATCAGAAATACTTATATACTTGATATATTATTTTATTTATATCATTATGTTTAAATATGGTATACAGTATATTATCTATTATATACCTCATATATAATAGATGTTATATATTTATATGTTATAATTTCATATACTACAACACATTTAATGATATAGTATATATATTATAGTAATATTCATATTTTTACTTATCATTGCTTTTTTGGATCCATTTCTTAGATTCATTTTTTTGTTTGTGGGGTTTTTTTTTGTGTGTGTCTTTTTTTTTTTTTTAAATGAAGTAAAATCAAATCATTCATTGAGAGAAAGTTTATTGGTTCAAGAAAATTTCTGATTCCTTGTGTGTTCTAAGATGTATTTATTTTGATTTGCTCTTAAAAGATAATTTGCTGGACCTATAATCCTAGGTTAATTTTCCCGCATGATTTTTTTTTTTTTTTTAAAGACAGAGAATGAGTGGGAGTGGTGGGGAGGAGGAGAGGGAGAGAGAATCTCAAGCAGGGGCTTGATCTCACAACCCTGAGATCATGACCTGAGCTGAAATTAAGAGTTGCTTAACCAACTGAGTGCCCAAAACCAGGCGACAACCCCTCATATGAATTTTTAAGAAATGGCCCCAAGAAGACATTTTTACACGTACTGTAGATGATGAGAAGGCCTGTGTCAGTCTGATACTTGTTTCCTTATTTAGACTCAGGTTATTTTTCCTGTGTGAAGCAATTGAGATTTTTGTCTCTATCTTTGGAGTTCTGAGTATACTATAATGTGTCTTTTTTATTCATCCTGTTTGGCACTTAGTGGGTCCTCCCATCTTGGAGATACCTGTCTTCAGTTGTTGAAATTTGTCTTCCATTATTGCCTTCAATATTTCTTCACTTCAATATTATATAATCTCCTTTCTGGGATAATAATTAGATAAATATTGAAAACATCTGGGTCTAACCTCTGAGCCTCTTAACCTTTTTCGTTGTACATTCAATCTTTTGAGTTGTGTTGTGCAAGAATGCCTCCTTCTGATCATCTAGCTCATTAATCTGCTTTTAATTGTCCGTTTTGCCGTTTAACCTAGCTATTGAGTTTATTTTTTGATTTAAATGATCACATTTCTAGTTGTCAAGACCTACACTTGACTTATTGTATAGATGTCATATTCACTGTTATGACATTCAAGACGTTATTTTTTTCCTATTCTCAAGGTTTCTTCTGTTTGCAGCTGCTTCTGCTTGTTATGTTCGGTTATGTTTACATGCAGTACTGGTGCCTCATGGTTTTGCATTCTTCCGATTGGAGTCTGCCTGATAGCCTTTCCATGAAGCCTGCCTTTGGGAGAGGGTCAGTGACCTGAGGACAGGTAGACATGCTTATATGCAGAGGATAGTGGATGCGAGTTTCTCCTCCTTTTACCCAGGGCTTGGTTCTGTGTCCTCAGCGCAGCCTGAGGGCAGGATGGGGTGCTTGTCTCCTTAGCTGCCCCAAGGCCTATTTCTCTCCCCAGTAACTGCCAAGTCTGGTCTTCAAAACCCCTATGCCTCCTTCCTCTTTTCTCTTTAGTCCTTTTTTTTTTCAAGTGTTTTGGTTCGTGGTTTCTGTGATCCCTTTGACTTCTGTCTTTCATGAGTCCTCAAAGTTTCTGGTTCTATGAAGGTGTTCCCTGCTTTTCATTGAATACTAGAAATTTTTTGTGGCTATTATTTCTGGGAATGGTCTGGGAAGGTAAGGCTAACTAACACTGGTGCTCAGTGTGCCATCCTGATTTGGAGTTCCCCAGTTTTATAAAGGAGCAGTTTACAACTGGCCTTCTATGGCGGTATACTATCTATGGCTATAGAAACATCTTTTCTGGAGCCAAACTGTTCCTGGATTTGGATTCTATCACTTAATAGCCAAGTGACTGTAAGTAAGTTGCTTAACTTCTCTGTGCCTCAATTTCTTTATTTAGCAAGGATAATAATAATACCTGCTTCAGAGAGTTTGTAAAGGTTCAGTGAGTACCTGGCTTTTTTAAATCCTCAACAAATGTCAGTCCTTATAACTCCAGAAATTGGAAGGGTCTATTTGGCTCAACAGGTATTCAGCTCTTTGTTAATTACCTTGATAAGTGCCCCAGGTTCCATTCCTGCTTTTTGTATTAGTTGACCTAAGTCTTGAAGTTTCATTGAGCACAATAGTTTTGAAGTGCTGTTTTCCCTACCCTATTTCCTTTGTTCATTTGATCACATTTGCTTTCTCTCTTCCTGGTTCCTTTGAACTTTCTGTTCTTCTGCTTGATTCCCTTCTTGCCCACATTGTGATAGGTTCATTAAAAAAATGAATCTATTTTCTCCCATTTCAATAGGACACAAGATGAGGAAGGATACATGATGCATATGCTCAGTTTTCCATCTTGAATCTGTGTCCAGGCTTAGGAAATACTGAGCTTCCCAGCTAGCACTGGAGTGTGATCTCTGGAGCCATCGGCAATGACACAGCATTTTATCCCTGAATACTGCACTGAATCACAGTTTTGGTTTTTTCTGGGTTTTTGTTTACTTGTTTGTTTTAATTTGCTTGCCTTTCAATGACTCACGGTTTCTTCTTTCTGTGGCTAATCACACAACAGCATGGATATTTATGAAACTCAGCTACCCGTTCAGACTGCAATATTGGCACTTTCAGATCTTCAGCCATAAGGTTGAGCAGTAGGTTCTGTTTCCAAGTTAGCCTCCTTGGTGTCTCACAGCCCCACACATTCTGTTTCTCCATGGTTCACGACTAGGAAAACATGATTCTTTCAGGAAAATTTTCTTACATCGCTCGAAGAGCAAACACAAAGTCTAGGACTAAGTACACATCTTTAAAGTTTAAGATGGAAAAGGGCAAAAAAAGAGCGGAGTGTAATAAATACAGATTGATTTGTATTTACTAGATTAGAAGCTACTCACTGGTTTAAAAAAGCCCATTTTCTAAGAGATTGAAGCAAGCTATATTAATGGATACCACTCTCCATGGGAAATAGTG